TTTTTTCCGTGTTTTTTTGTTTTTTGTTTTAAATGGAGTCGCCTCAAGGTGAGACAGGCAGCCAAGTAGATCATCATACATTCAAGGGGCTGTTTCCTTCACATAAAAAACAAATAAGAACAGGGGGGGGGGGAGAAAAATGGGGAAATATTTAAAAGTCTATAATATTTAAATATAAAAGTTCATATTTAATTATTTAGTTAATCAATGGAATAAATTTGGAATAAATAAACTGGGGCCGTGGTGAGGCGGGGGGAATGAAAAAGGAGGCCGAAAGGGGTCTTTTAGGGCTCGTGCGCAGGATCCAACTCCTCCTTTTGGCAAATCCAAATTTATCCGTCCTCTCCGGCCCGACTGACCTCCGCTTCCTCCTCCTCTCTTCCTCTCCAGGTGTTCTTGACCCCCCGTCGCCATGGGGGACAGCGACGATGAGTACGATCGCCGGCGTCGGGACAAATTCCGACGGGAGAGGAGCGACTACGATCGCTCGCGGGAGCGCGACGACCGGCGTCGGGACGACTGGAGTGACAGGTGACCCCCCCTGGGGAACGGAAGGAGGGCTGGGGGTAGGGGTTGGGGGATAGAGAAAGGCCCAGAGAGATCGAAAAGTCTGCTTTGGTTTTGGGGGGCCACGGGACAGGCAGAAGAGAACAGAAGAGAAGAGAAGAAATATTGGAATGTAGAGTAGAATAGAATAGAATAGAACATTAGAATATAATATAATAGAAAATAGAATAGAATAGAATAGAAAATAGAACAGAATAAGAAGAGAAGAGAATAGAGAATAGAAGAGAACAAATATTGGAATGAAGAGTAGAGTAGAGTAGAATAGAATACAATAGAATATAATAGAACAGAACATTAGAATAGAATGGAATGGAACTTTAGAATAAAACATTAAAATAGAATAGAAAATAGAATAGAATAGAAAATAGAACGGAATAAGAAGAGAAGAGAAGAGAACAAATATTTTCCAATAGAATAGAAAATAGAATAGAATAGAAAATAGAATAGAATAGAAAATAGAATAGAATAGAAAATAGAATGGAAAATAGAACAGAATAAGAAGAGAAGAGAAGAGAACAAATATTGGAATGAAGAATAGAGTAGAATAGAATAGAACATTAGAATAGAATAGAACTTTAGAATATAACATAATAGAAAATAGAATACAATAGAATAGAAAATAGAACGGAATAAGAAGAGAAGAGAACAAATATTTTCTAATATAATAGAAAATAGAATAGAATAGAAAATAGAATAGAAAAGAATGGAAAATAGAACAGAATAAGAAGAGAAGAGAATAGAGAAGAGAGAGAAGAGAAGAGAAGAGAAGAAATATTGGAATGAAGAATAGAGTAGAATAGAATAGAACATTAGAATAGAATAGAATGGAACTTTAGAATAGAACATTAGAATATAACATAATAGAAAATATAATACAATAGAATAGAAAATAGAATAGAAAAGAATAGAAAATAGAACAGAATAAATATTGGAATGAAGAATAGAATAATATAGAACATTAGAGTAGAATAGAGAATAGAACATTACAATAGAATAGAAAATAGAATAGAAAATAGAATAGAAAATAGAACAGAATAAATATTGGAATGAAGAATAGAATAGAACATTAGAATAGAATGGAAAATAGTATAGAATATAGAAGAATATAGAATAGAGTAGAAGAGAAGAGAACATTAGAATGGAATGGAACTTTAGAATAGAACATTAAAATAGAATATAGAATATAGAATAGAATAGAAAATAATATAGAATATAGAAGAATACAGCATAGAGTAGAATAGAATAGAACATTAGAATAGAATGGAATGGAACTTTAGAATAGAACATTAGAATAGAATAGAAAATAGAACAGAATAAAATAGAGAATAGAAGAGAACAAATATTGGAACAAAGAATAGAGTAGAATAGAATAGAACAAGAGAATAGAATGAAATGGAACTTTAGAATAGAATAGAATAGAAAATAGAATACGATAGAATAGAAAAGAATAGAAAATAGAACAGAATAAATATTGGAATGAAGAATAGAATAGTAATTAGAATAGCATAGAATACAACATTAGAATAGAATAGAAAATAGTACAGAAGATAGAAGAGAATATAGAATAGAACAGAAAAGAATAGAACAGTAGAATAGAATAGAAAATAGAATAGAAAATAGAACAGAATAAATATTGGAATGAAGAATAGAATAGAATATTAGAATAAGAACAGAATAGAATAGAAAATAGAATTTTGCTATACGAGGTGCCGTGACAATAAACTAAACGAAGCGAAACGAAAGAAGCCCTCGAAAGTCGGTTAGAAATGTGCGCGGGGTTTGCCAGCAAAGTACGCCGAGGCCTTAACGTATCCCCTTCCGCGTGCGAAGATCGAAGCTGGTTGATTTGGCATTTTTGAGTACCGTCGGTAAATCGTTCTTTGTCCTGCCAGTTGCCCCAAGAAATAGGGAGCGGGGGGCCAAACCCCGCTGTATTCCTCCGGATGCGGGGCATAGATATTTGCTCCCCCCAATTAAAAAAAAAAATGTCTCTCTGTACACTCTGGAAATTAAAAATTAAAACAACCCAAAACTCTTTTGGGGAAAGGTATTTGGGGGTTGTGAAGTTTTTTTTCCTGGCGGTCCCGACGGATGGCGGTAAGGCTGCTTTGGCGTTGCCGTCGCTGCTAATCACTTGAAATCTTTGCCTTCCGCCAGGGAGTGGGACCGCGGCCGGGAGCGCCGGAGCCGAGGGGAATACCGGGATTACGACCGGAGCCGACGGGAACGCTTCTCCCCGCCTCGTCACGAGCTGAGCCCGCCGCAGAAACGCATGAGACGGGACTGGTGGGTTTCTCCGGCGGCGTCTTCGGTGGGCGTGGTGGGTGGGGGGCTAGGTTGGTTCTCCTCCGGCCACGGTGGAGGCCTCTACAAACACCGTCACCGAATTGGGACCGCGGGCCCCGCCCCAAAAACGAGCCATTCCACCGATTTTCCCTGGTTGCAACGAAGGAAGTAACAAAAATTAGACCGTTTCCCCGAAAAGACAACCTACCCTGAAAGTAAATCCTGCCTGGATTTTCTTCCCGTGTGCACCCAATTATAAGCCCTACCCGCCCCCCAAAAAATATAAGCCCTAATGAAGATCCCACCCACTAGAATGGATACAAAGATAACTCAATGCTTGTGAAGCCCTAAGAAATGTCCCCTATTTCCCCTGAAAATATGACCTACCCTGAAAGTAAGTCCTAGCCTGATTTTTTTATCCATGCAT